CTCTCTCTCTCTCTCTTTCTCTCTGTCTCTCTTCCATCTCTCTCTCTCTCTCTCTCTCTCTCTCTCTGTCTCTCTCCCTTCACCCCCTCACTTTCCCCCTCTCCCGTTCCCCATCTCCCTCTCCCCCCCTCCCAATCGCCCTCGACCGCATCTTTCACCCCCTCCTCTCTCACACACAAACACACACAAACGAACACACTTTCCCCAAAAATTCCACTGTATTATTTTTAGATAGTGTCTTCCGTAGCTTTCGATTTTACAGTCATCCAAAGAGCCCCTAGAATGAAATTTCGATTTTTTGGTGAGAAAAGTTTCTCAATTTTTATCGTCGTTTGGCCCAATAATCTGGAACACCTTCCCTAAGGCCTCAGGATCTCAGAGAAGCATCACATTTTTACACAATATTATTACCCCAGCAGATCTATTTCTACTTCTAATCCTTTTGCCCTGTCCTTTTCCACAGCTCTTCATTTTTTATTCTATCCTTTCACTTAATTCTCAGAATGTCCTCATACATATCCACGCTCAAGAGCTTGCTCTGTGCGCTTTACAACTATTATTACCCTCTGAGAACACTCTCAGAAACATTCTCCAGCTTCCGCGGAAACATACAGTGCAAGCTGCTGATTTCACACGCTCAAACACTATCAAACTGACAAGATCTTTCACTGTCTGTAGCTTGGTACCCATTTCCACCTGAATAAGTGAGGAAAATTTGTGCAAAGTGCCTTTCCCAAGGACACAACGTCGGGTCCCTGACGGAATTCGAACCTACGACCTTACGGTTGCGAGTCCGAGAGCCTAACCACTAGGCCACCGACGCCCCAAATGTTGATCAAAGTCTGGACTTTGTTCAGTACTGTTTTTGTTCTCTTCCAAGTTTCGCAGCCGTGGAGGAGCACAGACTTGACGCTGGAGTTAAAGAGTCGAATCTTGGTGCGCACTGAGATGTTACTAGCTTATACTTGTTGTACTGTCCCCGTCGTTTCATGCAAAAAAAAGTTCTGAAATTATGCACACTGAGCCCGAAATTGTGAAATTATGCGACTGTTAATTTTAACAAAGAATGAGAAAGAAAAATAATCAGAAATTATGCAAAAAATGATCAAAGTTTGCTAAATTATGCGGGGCGCATAAAACCACGGGGACAGGTTGTATATATAAACTACTTCATATTTGAAATCAATTTCTTAACATGATTTCTGTATATTGTTTATTCACTTCTATTATTTCGTTCACAGTGATTGTGGACAACAGCGAGCTCTACGGGACGTCAGGAAGCGTAGCAGGTTGGTACCGAAGCATAATTGGTCACTTTTAAGGGCAAGCGTGCTAACCCATATTTCGGGGGTTTCCAGAAATCTTGTTCTACGGTTTCCAGAAAGCTTGACCTACACCAAAAGTGGGCATTGCCCTACCTATAAGAGAAGTTTGGTTTCATTGGGGTGAATATTTGGTTAGATATAGATAAAAGTTTCCTGGTCTTTTAAAGAAACTGAAAAAGGGGCAAAAACATCGACTTCGATTTTCTTAAAAGAGCATTTTTTCGGGACAGCCCCCTTGTACTTAAAAGCGACCAATTAGAGCGTTAGATCTAGTTGGCGAGTGCTCTGGTGTGGTTTGCTCCTATGTATCTTCTCTATC